CCTCAAAGTGCGAATGGACATGAATATGCGGTAGCTTAATTTTTTATTTTTCTGACGTCACATATGTATGATCCTCACGGTGCCTCAGCTAGAGGCACTTTAAAGCCGCGGTCCGAATCACGCTTACAGCGCTATCAGCGCATTCTCGGTTGCTTACGGTTGATCCGATTCATACTCACAGGCTACGGTCCATTTGATGCTGCAAATCCTTCGGAGCATTTTTTGATTGATCAATTAGTAAAAATTCTTTCTTCTGATTGGTCAATCAAGTGCTTCGAAGCATTTGCAACGTCAAATGGACCGCACCCATTTCTTTATTATGTGCTTAATTGTGAAAATATGACTTGTCTCGTACTTATCAAAGTCGTAAAAAATAGAAGATGGAATCTAAAGTTATTGTTGAATTTTATACATAAAAGCATATTTTTCACTTTTTTCAACAGCTGTCGAACCGTGATTTTTCTTACCTGAATAGGCTTCACTTTACGTGCCTTTTATAACTATTTACTAATTGTTAGGGGGGAAAAGAATAGTTTCCGTCCCTTTTTATAAGTTTTTTAAAGCGATCCCATTTTGTTATTTTATCCAAATTTTTTTTATTTAAAAATGGCACGCAACAAACTTTTATATGGGTGCGTTCCTATTGATTTTCAGTACAGTATTAGTCGCCATGTTGTTTTACTGAACAAGCATTCTTTTCTCTAGTAAAAAATTTCAATAAAAACATAACTTAGGATTTGGACACGATTTGGAGGTTATGGATTTTTAGGTTATGTTTTTACTAAAACTTTTTACTGGAGAAAGGGAACACTTGTCTAGTAAAATAACATGGCGACTAATACTGTATTAAAAATCAATGGAAATGCATCCTATGTCGTTTCTCACTTATGACGTCACGATTCCAATATGGCCGCGGTGACTAGACAGGAGCCTTAAGCAAAGAAATTATATACATAGACTAGAAAAGGCATAGCGGTCCCTTTTAAGTGGAAACGTGAACTGATAGAAAGAAAAAGAAAAAAGGAGATCCATCTATTTCCTTGTCTAATGTTGCGCGCGGCTGCAGATAGGTGGCTCGTTTTTTGTTTCTTTTTTATGTGCTCACGCATTCTTAGCCGGCTCCTCTACACCTTGAAATTAAGGCGATGTTGAAAGATCGGAAAAATTTGCGCAAGGTCGATAAAACAGTCTGTTCAATTGACATCAATGATATCTCTAAATGAAGAGTATGTGATTTTTCTTTTTATTTTTTTTTATACCATTCAAATACCTTATTACGACTTAAGGCGATGCTAACAAGACAGAATTACCAACACATTGCAGTTGAGTAAATTTTTTCAAATTGACTGAGCAGAATTGAAAATCTTTTTACAGAATTGCAAGACATAAAATTATGGTGTAAGACGGATGAATTTGTAGTAAAATTGAAAAAAAATTAAAAAATTACATTTTTTTCGGATCGTATAGCTGTCACCTGACATATATAAACATTTCATTAATGTTAAAGTTAGAGAGTTGTAACTCATATGTACAAAATGCTTACATCTCACACCACAAATTACATAACGAACGAATAATACAAAACCTTTTGAGCTACGATTGAAAGCAATAGAAAAAAAGATATCTACTCAACTGCAATTTACGGTAATTTATTTGCTTAGCTAAGATACAGAATAGTAAACAAAGCAAAAATTGCGTCTAATTGAAGTAAGTGCAGGATTTAGCAAGAGATGGCGCTTCAATATATTAAATAAAGACAATGTACGTGTTGACAAGTGAGACAGAACGATATTGTAAGAAGTTATTTAAGAGGATGCTGAAAGGTCGGCCAAATTTGTACAAGGTCGATAAAGCAGACTTTTCAGTGTCAGTGGTATCTTTAAATGAACTTCTTACAATATCTTCTGGTCTCACT